GAAAGATGCCAACAAACTGCAGCATGTTCTGGAGGGCAACAAGGATGATCAGGGGACTGGAAGCTGAACCCTCTGAGGAAAGACTGAAAGAGCTACGCATCTTTAGCTTGAGAAAAGAAGACTGAGGAGAATTATGATTGTACTTTTCAAATACTTGAAAGGTAGTCATATAGAGGAGGGGCAGGATCTGTTCTCAGTCATTCCAGAGTGTAGGACATGCAACAGTGGGCGCACGTTGCAGGAAGCCAGATTTCGACTGAACATCAGGAGTTGCAGGAAGCCAGATTTCGACTGAATATCAGGAAAAATTCCTTAACTGTTAGAGCAGTACAGCAGTGGAACCAATGACCTTGGGAGATGGTGAGTGCTGCAACACTGGAGGCAATTAAGAGAAAATTGACAACCATCTCTCACATCTGCTTTGAGCTGGGAGTTGGACTCAGTGGCCTTATAGGCCCCTCATATCTGCTTTGAGCTGGGAGTTGGATTCAGCGGCCTTATAGGCCCATTCCAACTCAATTATCTATGATTCTGTGATTTGAATAGTTTACATTGTGAAAGTTACCTTGCTTTGCTGTGGGGCAAACCTGTTAACTCTCAGAGAAGCAGACTTAATATGCATGCAGAGACATTAACTTGAAGGGATTACAGGAGTCCTTTTGGAAGATGCTTTGCTGTTTCAGAAAAGTGACAATTGCTAAAGCAAGGCAAATCAGTCTTACTACAAAGTGCCTCCCTTAACTGTCCCTGAAGAGTTCACACACTGTGCATATATATTTCATCTAGATAATTCATTTGTTGCAACATCTTAATTTCAGAGGCATTTAGTTTCCAGCAAGCCATCAAGTTTAAGTATACACCAGCTTTTTAATATTAATGTATTTATTATCTTCTGTTTACCACATGCATATCAAAAGTTTAAAAGCAAAAAAGTTTTCTTCCCAGAACAAATACTTGATTCCCCTTTCTATTTTGCAAACGCTTTGTCGACTTCCTTCCAACAAACATTTTAATGGGGCTGCAGCAACTGTTCAGATGCCCTTCATTTACTTTTCTGCAATGTCAGCAGGATTGGGTGCAGTAAGAATATTAAGCACCTCTTGCTGTTTTCTGCAGAGAAGTAGTGTTTGGACCTGGTTAATTTAGACAAACCATGTGATTTTGGGAGGCTTCTGGTAGATTCTGGTAGATTTAAAAACCATTATACTAGGGATGGGGGGCTGTTTTTTGAGGAGAGCTGTGTTTCCCACCTAGAGGATAATATATCTGAATGCTGTAACACACAAAAACACAAACACATCCCTTTGAAAGCTTGCTAAAGCTCAAGCTACTTCCAGAAATATTTGTCTTTTTCTTCTTGGTCAGTGTTCAGTACTACAGGTTTGCTGGTTATTTATGCTGGCATTGTAGTATTCTTAATTTGTTTTGTGACCAAACTTGTATCATAAATGTTATGCACTGAAAGCTGTCAGTGTTACATAAGTGCCTATCAGTTCGAAAAAGGGACTTGAGTATTTCAGATCTGGGATGTCCTTTTAAAGAGGTCTTGCATCTGGCTGTCATTGTTCTTCTTTCTGAAATGCCTGTCATCAGCCCTTTCTTGAAGACTTGAGAAGCCATTTCTGTCTTGTTTTCTCAGCCGCGTAATTCTTGTTGGTCCTTTCCCATCTGCTCTGTATTGCAGGTGCTGTTACTTCTAAAAAGGGACTTGTCATCTGCCAGTAATTGGTTCCCACATTCTCTTGTGTGTATGTGTGTCCTCATTGTATTCTAGTCTTAGCTTGGGGTAATTTCAGTTGTTTTAACAAGTCTCGAAATGAAAGGCAAATTGTACAGGAGTTGAGCGCTGGGCTGACCTCCAGTGATTTTCCCTTCAAACCACTTGACCTTGTGCTCCCAACTGTCTGAGAGAACCTTGGAAAGGAAAGTGATAGATAAACACCTTTGCTCCTACATATGGGTTATTGGTAAAGCAGAGAGGTGTTGGCCAGAACCATTCTGTCATTCATGAGGATTACTCTTAACTGATATGATCCTTTTCAGTACCGTATTGTATAATGACAGTGTATGTGATGCTGTATGGCCTTGAACCTAGGAGATGTATTGATGTCCTCCATTGCTTGGATACCTTTTTTGTGGGATCCTTAAACACTTGAGCTTGAACATTCTCTCTGAAGTGGTTGTTTCAATATAAGCTGTTTATGTAAGGCTGAAGTCGCTAAGAATAAAATAACAGCAGCAGAGGTAGTAATATGCCATCAAGTTAATTCTAAATTATGGTGATCATTTCTAGTTGTTCTTGATCAGCCATTCTCACTGGGAGGCCTGGCACATTTGAAGGGGGGCACAGACTGGACACAGTTCTTCACACACCATCTTAGGTGACATTTAGATTAGATTAGGCATCCTTCAGTCTTGAGAGACTATAGTAACATGCTCTGTATGGAGGACTTGGAACAGCGTCTAGTGTGGCTGAGAAGGCCAATTCGAGAGTGACCATCGCTTCCACACTGAAGACAAATACAATCTGTCCCCTGTCCAGCTCTCTGATTTTGCTGCTTTTGTGACTTCCTCTTTGCCTTGGCCTGCTGGACAAGGGTCTCTTCAGATTGGGAGAGGACATGATGCACCGCCTGCCTCCAGGCTGACCCGCTTCGTCAGGGTTTCCCATCGGCTGAGGTCCATTCTTAAGGCCTTCAGATCCCGCTTACAGATCTCCTTGTATCGCAGCTGTAGTCTCCCTCTGGGGCGATATCCCTGCACTAATTCTCCTTACAGGAGATATTTTGGAATCCGACCATCAAATCTGACAATCTTGATTTGGTCTATACTATATTTCTTTCATATTTTGTTTATGGCTGTGACAAAAAAAGATAGAGAGATAGAGAATGGCTGTTCTAGGTATAGCGTACTCAGAAGTGGTTTACTCTTTTCTTCTTCTGGGGTGCTCTGGCACTAAGTAGCTTGCCCAGGATCACAGATTGGCTGTTTTCCTGGGAAGGCACAGTGAGGATCAAGCTTAAAACCTTTAGCTCTGCAGCCAGATACCTACCTGAGTGAGCTATTCAGGTCTCTTAAAGGGCAGGGGCGAATCCTGGAAGATAATTACAGCCACTTAGGGCAACTGCTGCTTATGGCCAGAATTTGAATTCTTACTTTTCTTTTCTTTCATTCTTTTCATTTTTTTCATTCATTCATTCATTCATTCATTCATTCATTCATTCATTCATTCATTCATTCATTCTCTCTCTCTCTCTTTTTCTTTTCTTTCATTCTTTTCATTCTTTTCTTCCATTCTTTTCATTCATTCATTCATTCATTCATTCATTCATGCATGCATGCATTCATGCATTCATGCATTCTCTCTCTCTCTATTAAAATCCCTATTAAAAACAAACTTTTCCTCCTAATGCACACACAGAGGCTTGGTCTAAATGTAGGACTGCATGAGCATCACAGAAGGAGCTTTTACTTACCAGCAAGGAATGAACAAAAACCTACAAATTTGTGAATGGGAAGTGTCACCCGGAAGAGGCATATGTGAAGTGCGATCGTGATTTCAATGAATGAGATTTTAGCCATTGGCCGAAATCCTGTTGCGCAGTAAAGCAAATGGCATAACATTTGGAACTGGACTTCCATAAGTTAATCATTATTTCTAGATATTAACTGTTGCATGCTGCATTGTGTGACAGATAAGATCTGTAGAGATTTCTTATGGATGTTTTCCTCTAAAAGGTATGTATAACTATGCAACAGGATTTCAGACGTTGTCTTCAGTGACCACTAGCTTCTGCAATGTATTAGCGAGGATAAGTCTCCACACTGGGCAGCAGGGATCCTGGCAAGTCTTTAATTAATTAATTAATTAATTTGTTTAAAATATTTTTACCTGGCCGTTCTCCTCAAAAGGACTCAAGACGGCTCACATCATTAAAAAGTGCATTTTTAAAGTATTTGGTACAAAGCCCGAAGCCCCAAATCCCTATTAAAAACAAACTTTTCCTCCCAGAAAAAAAGAAGTGGTGGGTGGGTTCTAAGTTGTGAGATGAGTCCAAGTCAGTGAAACACTCCCTCCCCCGAGTCGAATCAAGTCACTGGTGTAACTTAAGTCTGACTTGACTGTGAGTCCCACTACTTGGGTTTGCATGACCCTTACTGGGCAGGATTGTGAAAATAATCCTTGCCCCCCCAAGTGGAGTCAAGTCACTGGTGTGCCTTAAGTCCGACTTGACCGTGAGTCCCACTGCTTGGGTCTGCATGACCCTTACTGGGCAGGATTGTGAAAATAATCCTTGGTGAATGATAAAAGAGCAATAAAGTAGTGACAGCTTTCCAAGTTGGGAGAATCTCTGTCTTGTGAAGCTATTTCATCAGTTGCATTTTTCTTCCTTACCTGTTAGGACACTGTCCACCAGTGATGATGTTGAGGACAGAGAGAATGAGAAGGGTCGCCTGGAAGAGGCGTACGAGAAGTGCGATCATGATTTGGATGAACTGATTGTTCAACACTACACTGAGCTCACAACTGCCATCCGCACCTACCAGAGCATCACGGAGCGCATTACTAACTCGCGCAACAAGATCAAGAATATTTTTACCTGGCCGTTCTCCTCAAAAGGACTCAAGACGGCTCACATCATTAAAAAGTGCATTTTTAAAGTATTTGGTACAAAGCCCGAAGCCCCAAATCCCTATTAAAAACAAACTTTTCCTCCCAGAAAAAAAGAAGTGGTGGGTGGGTTCTAAGTTGTGAGATGAGTCCAAGTCAGTGAAACACTCCCTCCCCCGAGTCGAATCAAGTCACTGGTGTAACTTAAGTCTGACTTGACTGTGAGTCCCACTACTTGGGTTTGCATGACCCTTACTGGGCAGGATTGTGAAAATAATCCTTGGTGAATGATAAAAGAGCAATAAAGTAGTGACAGCTTTCCAAGTTGGGAGAATCTCTGTCTTGTGAAGCTATTTCATCAGTTGCATTTTTCTTCCTTACCTGTTAGGACACTGTCCACCAGTGATGATGTTGAGGACAGAGAGAATGAGAAGGGTCGCCTGGAAGAGGCGTACGAGAAGTGCGATCATGATTTGGATGAACTGATTGTTCAACACTACACTGAGCTCACAACTGCCATCCGCACCTACCAGAGCATCACGGAGCGCATTACTAACTCGCGCAACAAGATCAAGCAGGTAAAGGCCAGGGCAAGGAAAGAGGGAAAGGGTGACGCTTGGTTTTTCCTGTGAAATGGGAAGCCTGTATTGGAAGAGGCAGTCTGGCTACTAGAGCTGTTCCAGATGCTTATAGGTGAGAACAAAATAAAAATAAAAAATTGCCATCTGGAATCCTCTGAGTTGGGACACCTGTTGTTCACTGCAACAAGGATTCATCAATGGATGCCGTGCAGTGTTCAAAATTGAACTGAAGATTTGAAAAAAGGGCCAGTTGTCATCTTAAGAGAATGTTAAAATGGAATAGTTGTTCTTGAAGCGGAATCTCTCTGGACAGTGGGCAGTGGTTAGTTTCTTGTAAGTTTTGTTTGACTCCTTGCTGAGCTGGATACTATGCCCTTAGATTAGATGTAATAAGCTATAGTGCAGCTGATTAGAAGGAAAAAAAGTTATACACAAGAGCAGAACTGCTCATTTTACTCCCCATGTTCTTCGGCGACCCCTCGAATTTAGAAAGCAGAGGGAGCTGTACTTCGGTGTCCACAAGGTGGTAGAATCAGTGCCCAACAGAAAGCTAAAAGGATCACAGAATAGGTGGGCAAAAGCATCTCAAGAAAACAGCTTCTGGTCTGTATAAACCATGTGAGGTCATTTAGTTGCATACCAGAAATATATATAATCTGAAGGCAAGGTGAGATGATACCTTTATTCGTGCTAAAGAGGTATTAGCTGCCCTTGCCTTTTATTGTCTACAAGAGACACAGTTTTACTTTTCTACTTCTTAAATATAAGGTATAATGTACACTATAATTATATAATAACATATTGCAATATAATGATTGTATTTGTTTCAGAGCGATACAATATTTGGACACAGACTTGGGAAAATTCAAATCCTAGTCTCCACTGAGGCCTGAAACTCTAATCCCCCTCTCTCAGCCTAACCATTTGATGGTGGCTCATAGAAATTTAGAAATATTTATTCCATTTGAATATGACTAATAAATAAAAAGTTGAAACTGTTGTGTTAAATAGAGGTTTGGGTGGCTGAAATATTTTTCTAATGCTGCCCCTATGCATCCTTGCATATATGAGCAGAAAGTCAAGAGAGCTGGCAGAAAATCTCGATAGAGTGATATTTGGCAACACTGAATTTGTATGTAGAACTGTATACCCGCAGAGTGAAATACCTGAGCAGGTACAGACTGGACTAAACACAGTGTGAGTGGAACAGGATGTTCGACTTCCCCGGAAAGAGAGAAGGGCTTATTTCAAAGTGGCATTCTGTGAACAAAATGCCTTGCTTCTTTCCAGATGATGCACGCTAACCCTTTTGAACTTTCAAATTCATTTAGTATTTTCAAAGAGGAGCAAGGCCAGCCTGTTCCTTTCCAAGGGTAGGAGTTCATTTTGGGGATTTATATACAAAGCTCAACTCTGTGAAGACAGGGATCAATTACACCCAATCTGAAATAAACTGTATCCCAGGTTTACTCAATACAGTTAACTCTGAACTGGTCGAAAGCAAATGCCTAGACACAGTGACCTTGAGGCACCACCTTAAAATAACCACAGAGGATGAAGGACCTTTTGGTATTTACTGTTCCTGATTAGATTCAGTCAACATGTATTGAAGGAGCTTTTCTTTAACCTCCAGGGAAGTGACAGACAGCATATTAGGTCTGATTTCTTTCTTTCTCTCCCTTCCCCATTGATCTTTTAAATTAGCCTTCTCCTTTTTGTGTCCCTTCTC